TATTGTATTTTAAAGGCATAAAGGAATGCAGAATCATCTGATAGATAAATTTGTAATACAAATAACCAACATTGTACCTGTCTTTACAGACTGAAAGACACATATTAAACATGCAAATAGCAATTTACTCTTTATCTTGGGCAATGGCAGACTAGGATAAAGCCAAAGATAAAGTAAACAAAAGGCACTGAGATTAGAGGTTTCCACAGTAGTGAATATTAAGACTGCGGTCTTCTGGAATGTGACACCATGTAGTTCAGTACAAGATTGGTAACTTTTCTGGAAGAACATGTTGCCTATACTTTCAGAGTAGAAGATGCAGGTAGCACATTCCTCCAAAATGTTGGTAACCATCTACAAGACCATACAGTGACCGCAGTATTACTCAAATCATCAAAAGTAGCTTCTGAAACATGTTGTTTGAGTACTATAACTAGTTCAGTAACATAAATATAAAATGAAACTGGGGAAATTTTAAATTCTGAACATTACAAGTGGCTTCAAGCAGAACTTCGTTCTCATGGCTAAAGACATTGATATTTTATTTGGAAATCTCTTTAAATATAGTGGAAGAGACTTTCTCTTGCATATTTCAGGATTGCAATCAGTTAATTTTGTTATCAACTCTATATCATCCCCACAAAACAGACGCACACATTACATAGCCTCCACCAACAGCATAAATCATAAATCAAGGTCAACTTACATTTCTATAACGGAAATCTGAAACTCAAAATTGGGTTTGCTTTTATCATTATAAAAATGCAGTATAATAACTGTCATTTGTTATTAAGTACATGTAAACTTTGAAATTATGCAACGAACGTTGTTTACACATTGCCTTCATAATATTTCATTATAGATTAAACGAGGAGGAAACCGAGAGTATGAGGTGGATTACCTCTGAGTGGTTACCTTACACACTGACTATCATCTCACTGGAAAGTTACTTTTAATTCTAGTCACCTTAATACTTGTCAACTTGCATTAAACACAAGCTTAATATCATTATGTCTTGAAGTACATTTTTCACTTATGAACCTACAATAATAAAATAATGACAATTTAACAAAAATTTCAGTAATATTAGCATATGTTATTTCTGAATTGTCACTTATCACCACGAGTACAATTCAGTTAGGTATGCTGACACAGTTTGGTGAAATTAGTAGCAAATATATAGGTCTGGAAACTTTTCTCTCCAGAAGCAGTGCTTTAATTTAAAAATAAATTAAAAATAATAATTTCATCTACAATTCACCTTCAGATTTAACAATTTTGATACAAATAATTATGGAAAAATAGAACTTAAAATGTTCATACAGTTTTCTTCACTCAGATTTGTTATGAGACTCTGCTACAGTAGGTCAGTTTTGTCTTTCACCTCATGAAATATATTTCATATTTATGCGCTCCTGGAAGGTTTCATGGTGAGGACTGGGACCAAATATGGGTAGTAGGAGCTATTCTGACAGAGATTTCCATTTCAAGCACTGATTATTATGGTAGTGAATTTAAAAAAGGAAACCAAACACCTCCCAAATCAAATGTTCAATCAATACTCAGAGATAAAGCAAACTATTCTCACTATATATGCTGCAGCTTGAAGATTATGAAATTTTATGGAAACTGAAAAACAAAATTGTAAGTCTATTACAGTAAAGTTTTAGTATCAATTACTACAAGAATGTTAATTCCTTCACACCAAAATTTTTTAATAGTTAACATACTGAACTACACAAAGAGACCAACTATTTTGCTATCACATTTATGTAGGCTTAAGAGCTATAAAGATAAATTTTACATCGTAAATTTAATTTCTACAAATGGAATGCTCAAACTGTTTGAGGTATTCATTATTGCTGATATTTCTGAAATGAAACAAGTAGTGAAAAAACCAAAATAAGAAAAAATTATGACATTTTCTTGAAACAAGACTGAACTATGACTTACTTCTTAATCTAAATAAATCACAATTATTAAGTATTTTACTATAAAAACAATGCTATCAATTTATATATAAAGATGCATCCAAACATATTTATTTTAATACTGATATTCATTTTCATCGCATTAAGTGGAGGAATTGTTTTGGAAGAGACTGTGGACCTGTCGTCTTGACAGATTACTGATGATGATGATGATGATTCATTTTCATTGTAGTGCATTCAGCATTAACTGCATCAGTGCTATCAAATACAATTACCACACATATCAATACAAGGACCCTTTAAGGTTAAGAGAAGAGTACCCATGAGGATGAGGGTCATCTTCTACATGGAGCATACAATGTGAGCCTTCAATCCTTAAATGCTAGATGACATTTAACAACCATTACACATTACTGAACTCCCACAATAATTATTTCTAACTAAAACTAATGTTCAGTATACGTAACTAACCTAGAGATTATAATAAAACAATGTGGGGTGGGACAGCTTGAACCACAATTACCATCACTACCAAGTTATCAGGATGAACTTTATATCATACACCATTTGCAACATGTGATGTAATGTAAAGAAACATCAGAACCAGGCAGCAACCCAGACAACTACCAGTGTGGGAGTTAATAGCATTAATGATGTTCTGTGATTGTCCAAATAAGCTTCAGCCTCTGTTCATCACCCTTGCATACATTATACACAATTTCCAAAGGCTAACAACATTACTGAACAACCCAGATCCCATCACAGATCAGCCTGCTATGAGAAATGCAGAAAATGAATGGATTCCAGTTTAAAAACAATATTTATATGCATCTTATCTGGAAAATATAGCCCAATACTTAAACTTTTAACTGAAAATTCAAGGGTCATTACATATGCTAGCTGTCATATACATCAGCATATATGGAATATACCCTCTACAAGTTCAGGCTACTTTCAATCATCTTCAGGGGATCAGACTATACAATAAAATTATTTAGTACTTTATTTATGAGGTCTTGAAATCAAATTAAACTTTTTGAGAACTATATACATGTTTTTCATGCTACTATTTTCCTACTACTCTTGTTTCTTCCTTCTTACTTTCTATTCTCATATTTTTATATTCTACTGAAGTTAAAATTCTTATATATTACATTATTTTCATAGAATAACATTTAAAGTCTTATTTATGCTTCCTCATTTTCAACTTACATGGTCCCTCATCACTCATTTTTCATTTCTGTCAATTGTGTTTCTATTCCTTGGTAGAAAAATGGTTAGAAACACAACTGAAAAAGATAAAAAAGAGTGTTAGAAGGTGACAATGAAAAATGGAAATAAGAATGTATATAATATTTTAAGAAAATTACAATATCTGTAGCGTGCAGGCTGGTTATTGGGTAATGGTTGTCAGGCAACACCTACTGCTAGAGCAGCAGATTCTTAATAAACAGGGTTATGGAACCCGTTTCAGGTCAACAGCCATACCATAAAGAGAAACACACAAACTTTAATTGATGCTAGTAAGGAGGTTGGTCTAGAAGTAAACACAAAGAAAACTAAGTATATGTTGCTGTCTCGTCACCATAATCCAGGGCAAAATCATGACATAAAGATAAGTAACAGATGTTTTGAAAATGTGGCACAGTTCAAATATTTGGGAATGATGATAACACATCAAAACCTGATTCAGGAGGAAATTAAGAGGAGACTGAACTCGGGTAACGCTGGCTACCGTTCAGCTCAGAACCTTTTGTCTTCTTGTTTGCTGTCTAAAAACATAAAAATTAGAATACACAAAACAAAATTTTACCTGTGGTTCTGTATGGATGTGAAATCTAGTCTATGACTTTAAGGGAGGAACATGGACTGAGGGTGCTGAGAAGAATATCTGGACCGAAGAGAGATGAAGTGACAGGAGGTTGGAGAAAACTGCACAATGAAGAGCTTCATAACTTGTACTCTTCTCCAAGTATAATTAGAATGATCAAGTCAAGGAGGATGAGATGGGCAGGACATGTACAACTAATGGGGCGACGAGGAATTCATATGGGATACTGGTGAGAAAGCTGGGAGGAAGGAAACCACCGGGAAGACTAAGACATAGGTGGATTGACAATATTAAACTGGATATTAGAGAGATAAGATGGGATGATAAGGATTTGTTTGATCTGGCTCAGGATAGGGACCAGTGGTGGGATCTTGTGAACACGGTAATGAACCTTTGGGTTCCATAAAATGCTGGGAAGTTCTTCTGTAGCTGCACAATTGTTGGTTTCTCAAGAAGGGCTCAGCTCTGTGAGTGAGTGACAGCACAAGATAATATGACAATAAAGTAAGACAGAAATACCAAAAGGGACACATGATAACATTTCTACATAGCTTCAATGTATGGTCTGAACATCCTGAAGATGGCTGAAAATATTCTTCATATGAAGGGTAATAGGTAAAGTTGTCCCTGTGTTTAACTAATTAAGCACCAAACCATGAAGGCGTGTGGGAGTGTGGATGTATAGATCTACATGTTCTTGACCTCAGCATTAGATGGAGGTGAGTGGTCAGCTTCATGCCCTTGCTGCTTCACCCCCAGAGAAAGAGCTCCTGGTACCCACTGTATAGGAGGATGGGTGGGCCTCAGTGCTGGTATGGATGATGTGGAGAAGATAAAATTCTTGAGCCTACCAGGACTCAAACTCTGACCTCTCGGTTGTCCAGCCAGTAAGCCAGTTGCTATACTGACTGAGCTATCACGGCTCCTTTGACATGGATGGAGGATATACATAATACATGACTGTATCTGATGGTACTGAAGCAGTAGACATGTAAAATATTTACTCTCACATAAATAGTCCAGAATCATCCTCTGTTATGAATTTTGTGTTACTAATGCTTTCAATCAATTTGGCTCTTTATCAGCAATAAATTAATTTCCTTAGGAAAGAAATATAACAGAATGAGCAATAAATTTAATACTGTTACATTAAAAGTGTTTCAAATATTTTTGAAAAGGCCAATTAAGAAGTAAGATATTAATGCAACATTGAACTGTTACATGTGCTTTGAAGTTACCATGTTACTGCGAAACTGGTTGTCTAGAAAATGTGTGGCAACATGGGCTGGTAGTAGGTTGAAGAGAATGCGTTTGTTGCTATGCTGCAAAGCATCCATCTCACGTTTTTCCTCATTTGCCTGAAAGAAATCCACACTCAATATTACATATCTCAAAAATCATGGAAGAATTGTTGTGACATGGAACTTCTTTACACAGTAGTTATATCTGCCATAAATATACTGCATTACATCTTAGATATCATATCTCATATCTTACATGTGATCAGGATGCTCTCAGCTGATGTTTACAGAGAAGTTAATTATGCATTTTTATTCTGGTTTTACTTTAGACATAAGAAAATCCAATAAAATGAGAGCAAGACACTCAGCTCTATTGTTAAAGACAATTATCATCTATTCAAGGTACTTGCTGTCTGGCTCCACAGTCTAACAACTGCTTGGGTTCACTGGCTCCATGGGTCCAATTTTACAATATCTGGAGCAGCTTACTGTTCATACATAATGAGTAATGTGGAAGAAAGCTATAGGTAATCTTCACTGTAAGTATACATATATTAGTTGTGCACTGTAAGATCACAGCACAAATGAGCCATAGCAGCTGTTGTTGGGAATTGTGGACTCAGAGTGACGCAAAACACACGCGTTGCCAGTAAACACTTCCCCACGGTGACGTAACAGTAGATGTGTTGCAGAAGGCAACGTTTCACACTTTATATATATATAGGCTGTGGCAGTGGTGCCAACAGAAGACAGTGGAAACCAGACAGAAGCCAGTGGAAGCCGACAGAGGTAGTGTTTTGGCAGAAGCCAGTGGTTAGCCAGCAAGGACAGTTCAACAGTTCAACATTCTAGTAAGAGTAATAAACACAAAAGGAGTGACTGTGAAACGACTTGTTTCAAAATTTGTGTTACAGTTACGCTGAATTGTAGTTACGTGGAAGAGTAATAAAGTGACGAGGCAAGAATATGCCTCGAGGTCTTGTTCCACAACAGCTGTTGTGGGAGGGGGGAAGAAAGAGGGAACCACAATTTCTAAACTAATCTACAAATACATATCTGAGCAGGTGTACTAATGGAGTGCAGAAGAATGTCTAGACCTTCAGCATTATTCACCCCACCAATGACTTAAAGTCAGCTGTCACAGACATTTGTGGGTTCAGCTCAGTCTTGCGCTGCTGAGAAGTACTGCAGATACTATCCCATCTTCCTCAGAAGACAATGTGAACTAATGTAATAGTGAGTCTACCCTGAGCTTATTTGGAGAAATTTGATGAAATGCATGTAAGATTTGAAGTTTTCACAGCAGTCAGTGTTAAACATTGACCCTAAATATGGAGCCATCATGTTCACCCAAAACACTGGTGTGCATTTATAAGCTCACATGTTGCCACAACCCAGACTTCATGAAGTTCAGTTTTGGATTCAAAGAGTATGGTTTATATGAATAAGATGGACCAATATGATATTTTTCCACGGTGTACTTAATTTAAACAATGAAGCAATAAACTTCATGCATGTCATTTTAATAACAGATACGTCCCCTGGTTACTAATGCCCAGGAATATTTAGATATGTACAGTGTCCAACAGTCATATTTAAGCAGTTCCACTCTGAATTACTTTATACCTGAATCTGCCACAGGAAGTCCAGCCGAGCTGTCCACTCCATTTGCCGGCCATGAATCACAACAGCCAACAGGAACATGAGAACATATACAACTCCCAGCACATGCTGTGGAACCACTGATCTGAGAAATCAAAATTAATACTGGTAACAGTGTATTAGCTTGACAGGCCTCTGTATGATCAGGCAATCATGGCATGCCACAAATGAAGGGGAATCAAACTGGCAGAAGGTTAATTAAATAACTCTGGTAGTATAACCTCAAGGTTCACTGCTAACAACAAAGCCTGCCACTAGACACAACCCTAAGCCACCTTTTGAACTTACTATTATGCATTTCCTGGACTTATCTAATTTCAACATAAACTCCATTCATACTTGTAACTGTTGCCATTTTTTTTTTGTGATACATCACATATACTTACAGGAAGTTTGGATTTGTTGCAGATTTTGGTTAAGTGGCTTGCTCATGGAGTCAGTTCAGTTTGAGAATAATTCCTTTCCTACCCCATAAAAAATTCTTTGCATTATACAAGGGTACAAGTTAGGTAGACATCTAACATAATGAAGATCGACAAAACCTTACCATATATGTACCTAGGAAAAAGAAATAAAAAAAAAATACATACAGCATTTTAACATGGAAACCCATCAGCAAGTTGCTGCTTAAATTATCAAGGAGGAGATTGAGGAACAGTGCAGAAATGCATCTTTAATATGTAGACTGTGAGGGTGTAATTGGCACAAGATTATGCCCAATAGTGGACTCCATTATCAAAAGGGTTGGATCTTCAGGTTCAGTCATTACAGTGTTACTTATGATGCAAACTTACCTGACACGCTGATCATAGCAATGAAACAGGGCTATATGGGAGAGTTCAATGAGCAAGATATACACTGTAGCCATGACGATAAGAAGGATCCCCTTAACAAGGATGGGCAGCCGGAGGAACACAGCTACAGCCAGGTACCCAAGTGTGCATGAAAGAATAATATACTGGGGCAAGGGGCAGGCACGATGATCATGGTAGGTTGATGTGTCCAGCGTCACATTTGCTGTAGACTGCATAGGACAGGGCACATCCCACCGACAAGTGAACTGTGAACACAAAGCATACAGGAATTTGGTTCTTTGTTCATTCTGGACCATGTTAAGTTCAGCATATCATGACATCTGAGTACATGAATCCAGTATTATACAAAGGTGCAGAAAAACAGGCTATGAATTTTATACTAGTCACAATATTAAATATGTACTTATATGCTGTTCCCATTTCTCTTTGCAAAGTCAACATACCTATTACTATTTTGTAACTGTACGATTCTGCTGTCACAATATTTGCAATATATACTTCATTGTACACTATCACTGGGGTGAGCTTCATGAAAGCAATTTCATTAAACCATATCACAGTGCTTTTGTTATTTCCAATATGTCTCAGTTCTTCAATGTAACTTCCAGAGAAAGGTTCAACACAAAGCAGTAATTTAAAGATTAACATTTTCTGTGGTGCATATTACATAAAACATTTCCACCTGCATTTTAAAAATCTAGTGATTTATTTCATTTCTGTAAAAGCATTCAGTAACACTAATGGTGGCAGTGATGACAATGTGATGATGATAATTTGAGAAACTATGGATCAAGAAGACCAGACTCCTTTGTACCCTACCCTTCCTCCTAATATGTAGGGACGAAAGCACCATTCCATGCTTTTTACAATTTCAGCACCACATTTGATCCCATGCCACCAGAGGGATCTAGAGATGCACTAGCTCCCCAGAATACAATGGTCATCTTCGATGTTGTGTCACTTTTCACCAGGATGCTGATTAAGGAGGCCATTAGTTTCCTAAGGAGATATTTTGAAGATGCCCTTAGGCTCTTCTGCCATGTACTGACCTCCTTATACTTTAGTTTCAATAGCCAGTTACACCAACAAACTGACAGCATGGTTATTGGTTTGCCACTGTCTCCAGTTACTGCCAATTTCTTTGTTAAGGAATTTAAAAAAATGGCATCTGACCAGACAACCAACAACTAGTCGCTGTTTACATTCTCTATAGAACGGACAATACTTTGCAAGGTGAGGCACCGACTAAATACCAATTAACATTAATATTACTACATCTACATCATGAGCCTCCAATAACAGTTCTTATACACAAAATATACAAAACTCTAATTTGTCCATGGGAATGAAACAAAATCACAAAAACCAACGACTGACTCGACGATGTAAAGCATCAATCGAAGAATTTTATTCTTGTTTTATATTATAATGTTTGTTTTATATAATCTAATTTATTTTATTTTTATGTCAAGTATTTTAATATAATTAATATTATTGTATCCAATTTTATTAATACTGCAGTTCAGTGTTGTATATATATTAGCCATGTATTTGCCTGATGATGGCTGTTAATAGCCGAAACATGTAGCAGAGCCAAAACCAGGCACTAACCTTGATACAGTTGTGTTGTGGCGGTCTTAATAAAGAAGTTGTATATTATAACACAACAGGATGTATGAAATGAAAATTATAAATGCTACCTAACATTTACACATAGAGACAGAACAGAATGTGGTTAATACTATAAAGATTTGTTTGCCTGTCACAATTCATCCCTCTTTGTCTGGCTTTCATATGCAAGCCATACAACAAACATATTTATATCCCTTGTTTAACACAGAGGTTACAATCCTGAATTATGCTGCGGATATGAAAACAATGTTCTGCAAGGGTAATAAGGGATAAGGGGAAGTGGCTTCAGATACATGCAGTATCCACTGTTCTCACAATCCCACTCTTGCCATGTTCCAATTTTATGATCCCATTTCCATCAGGAGCCAGTGCTTTTCTTACAGAGGAAATAAGCTGGCCTGAACTCAAACCCACACATGTAGCAGAAATTTAAAAACTCTATTTTGACTTACTGTACACATATAAGAAACAAACATTTATATAAAATATAGCAAGAGCAAAGATACTTTGCCCCCAACCCTCCCCAATCATAGTAACAGCACAGTTTGGGTTTTCCCCTGTATCCTACCAATAGAAGCAGGTAGTCTTGGTTTTCCCTCATCCGAGCAATGATCCCACTGAATTTATGATTCCATTTACACCATGGTCTCATTGTTATCACACTCCCACTGCTGTAAAGATCCACATGCCTTTCTTACAGAGGAAGTAATGGTAAACAGGTTGATTTGGACTCAAACCCATGAATGTTTTCAAGTGTCTAATACCATACCAGGGACGTCCTCTACAATCATGACATATCTGGTTAGAATAGGTGCAATGATGCAGAAATGTTTAAAGAATGAACATAGGCACATTCTTCTTTATACACATAGATACATATATACTACCAGAAATAGTTTTCATTTATAACTTCACTGATTCACTGACATAAAAATGCCTTCCAACATACTACACTTCCGCTATATTCTCATTTTCAAGCATGCCATTTTCCTGTTCCAGAATAATTACTTTTGAATCTATTTTTGTACAACATTACTATATTTACAATTTGTAGCCTTATTTTGGGAAAAAATAATACGACACTTTACATATACAGGAAATTATTTCAGGACTGTGAAGGACATGTTAGATTGTTCAACAAAGTTGTTCCCACAGTGAGAGTCACTGCAAGGTTGGGCACAGGTACAACATGGTCTCAATTTGCCAAATATTTGCATGTGCGCATATGCTAGTCCATGGCTAACTGCAACCTGACCCTCAGATGTATAAAACAGGCATATATATAAATCCATATAAATCTATCTATATCTATAAATCTACATATATCTATATAAATGACTTGCCTAAAATATTAAATAAATTTTCTATGCCTATAATTTTTGCTGATGATACTAGCATCTTATTTTCACATTCTAATATAAATGATCTTAACAGGAATAATCTTATAACAATTGAAATTTTAAATGGATGGTTTAGAGCTAATAAATTATCTTTAAACTTTAACAAGACACACTGTATTCAATTTAGAACTAAGACAATAATGTCAGATACTTTTACAATATATCGTTTTAATAAGTTTATTAACAGTACCCTCAGTACTATATTCTTGGGAGTTGTAGTTGATAGTGCCTTAATATGGAAGAATCATATTGATTTACTTGTAAAAAAGATTAAGAAAGTTCTTTTTCCATCAAACGTTTATTCTCATACTATTGATACTAGGCAAAGACAAGATTTGTATCTACCGCAAGCTAATTTAACTATTTATCAAAAAGGAGTTTATTATGCGGGTATAAAAATATTCAATAAATTGCCCATAGAGATTAAGAACACCTCTAATAATTTTAAAAAGATTAAGGTTTTATTATGGCATTTCTTGAACACTCATATATTTTATACTATGGATGAATATCTAAATAGATAACTTTTATTATTGTTGTATTCATTGTACTGTCTAGTTGTGTAATAACTATGTATGAGTATGTATTCTATGCTCTATATTATTTTATGACATGTTCTATATCCATCTTTGGATCTCTTGAACTTACAATAAATACAAATACAATAAATCATACACAACAAAAATTGTGCTAACCAAACTTATATTAACCAAGGAATTATTGTATATATATATATATATATACAGGGTGTCCCAGGAGGAATGGACCAAACTTCGGGAGGGTGTTCCTTATGTTAAAGTATGCCGATATAACCCAAAACACCTATGTCCAAAGTTGAACGGTTACGGAGATAATGGCCCGAGAAAAGTGTGGTCTTCTAGTGGGTCTACGGACTGTACCTATCAGCTGAGTGGCCTTATCTGTGTTTGTCCTTGAGTGCCATGATTCAACCCTAGCTGTACGTATGTAGTTGGCTTTATCAGAACGCGCAGTCAGCACGTTACGTCAGCGCTTGCCATTCATGTGTCATGTACAGTGCTTGGAAACCCTAAGGACAATTATGACATGGTGAGCGAGTATTTTGTACTTCAATTTTATAGCTTCATGTTAGTCACAAGTTAGTTTGATGTTATGTACATTATTAACATTACAGAATCCACATATTCCTGCCAGTTTTAATATGTATTTTGTAATCAACAAGTGTGCAATGCCGGTCAAAGTTTGACACTTCTCTGGCCATTATCTCCGTAACCGTTCAACTATATATATATGTATATATGTGTGTGTGTGTATGATGTATTCATTTCTTTATTTATATATATTTCCTCTTGTGTTTGATGGGATACTCACGACATTGACTTGTGCTACAGTGTAGATTAACACAATAGTGAACACAGTGATGGCAAGACGTAACACAAAACTCTGCGAGATGTCCCAGAGGATCCACTGCAGCCTCACTGCCAGCAGAAGCATCAGTACAACTGACACCCAGATGAAAGCAGTGAGGAATAACAACAACAGAATGATTGTACGTGGCAATATCACAGCTTGGAGCCCTCCTATCAGCAGCAGCAGAACTAATGAGCAAGCCAAGGAGCTGCTGAACCCAACATCTGTGTCATCATGGTACTGAAATCATACAAAACCATGACGAAAATGGGACTGTCATGTTGGAGGAGAACAATAAATTATATGCTGAACAAACTGTTTCCTCAGGAGGAGGCATCAAACTCAGTCTCATCACGAGATCTGAGACTGAATGACAGCTATAGTACACGAGTAGTTAGACTGATGGCAGCAAACAAAAATTAAATTCTTTTATTAATATCATACTTACTTACTCATGGAGCTGAGCCCTTCTGGAGGAGCTGCCAATTCTGCAGCTACTCAAGAATTTCCCAGCATTTTATGGAACCTGAAGGTTCATTACTGTGTTCACATGAGCCCTCCACTGGCCCTTATCCTGAGCCAGATCAATCCAATCCACACCATCCCATCCTATCCCTCTAAGATACATTTTACTATTGTCCACCCACCTACACCTTGGTCTTCCCAGTGGTCTCTTTCCTTCTGGCTTTCCCACCAATATCCTATACGCATTCAATGATTAGAAAAGAAATATTAACTCATATTGTTAATGGCGCTTGAAAGGGTGAATATTATCATCGTCCTCACCATCACTGATGCTGTTGTCATTGTTACTGTTTCAAGTGCTAAGCCTAATGAGGCCTGCCATGGATATTACAAAACAGCTTCCATTATTTCATATGCCTTCCTAAAATTTGTTTTCTTTCTGGCTAATATTCATGAGCCATTTTTTTTATCCTGTCAGAGCTCACCTGTCAATATGATGTTCCTACTTTATTATGTATTCTTCTAAGAATTCTATTATTATTATATTATAAAATTTGTAGTTCTGTCATAATTTCATCTTTTCTATGGTCTGGACAGCTGTATCCCCCCGTTCCCACAAATACATTTATGATTATACAAATGTTCTCTCATCAGTTCTTCTAATTCTCAATGATCCACTACCAAAACATCATGATCTAACAAGTGCCTTACAGAGTTGCATATTTGTAGGTCCACAAACTAATGAACAAATCTTCTTCTCCTTTACAGCACATATTATTGCCCAAAAAACTAAAAATATCAAAGTATTAAACTCTTATACTACATATTATTTTACAGGAAAAAATATTTCTAATGATAGGCATGAATAAATAACTGTTCCCAAGCCAAAATATTTTTGCATATGAACGCAACGCTTAACATGACATTAACAACTGTGTAAATTTCTGTTAAAAGCACAACATTTTGTGCAATGGGATGAAACGAGAACTAAGACTTCCCTCAAAATTTCATTCCCTGTTAATATATTAGCTTTAGTCTTGAAATCTTCTTGCAGAAGTACTGCAGTACACAACACGCAGCACATAGGAAACATCTAACCATAAGCCACATATCCTCAAGCTGACATCTCCCATCTTCGGGACGAATTAACAAGGAGGAGCTTAACATTTTACTTCAAATGTTTTAAATTTTAAATATTTTAACATTGGCGTTTTAACTTGAGGGCAGTTTCGGATGAATGTGAGAATTGAACGTGCATTCAACAATCCTAACAAGTGTTGTGCTTTTACACGTAGACGTATTGTAGCAGCGTTCACGCAGCAAACATAACTGTGTACATCTTAAACAACGGCAGTGTTTTCATGCTTGTACTATGTGCCTCTGATGATGGTTTTATTAAACCGAAACATGTAAGGCAGAAGTGATAAAGAAGTGACCTATAAATTGTTACACTGACAGACTTTTTATTGACTTTGTGACAAATTTATCATTTGTACAAGCACACCCTCATTTATGTATTCAGGCTTCAAATGTCCATACATAATGGGTCTTAATTCTTAGGAACACACCCTACTTATACACTGCATTGGTTTCTATATGTATATGTGACATTTGAATTGACTTATGACCCACATCTCATGACTCACTTCAGAGGTTAACTTCAGACATGGAGGCTTACACACATCAGTGGCACAGAATAGCATATCATATCATACTATATAAATGATAACTTTCAATATAACCCATTACTTAATGTCATATTTACATGTTTAAATGCATTTCCTTAATCTGTGAAATCTTTACAACCAAGAAAGAGCACAATCAGCAAATTTATCATCGTAAAATACCTGGTCAAGAATATAATACTCACCTTTAACATTAACTGCCAGAGAGAAACATCTCCAATATATGCAGTTCTGCATCACAGGGCTTTCCTGGGAACACAGTTCCTGCACACATTTGTGTATAACCCTATTACCTTCATTTCTAGTTTTTATAAACTAATATTCCTTTCTACAGCCCATATATGATTATTTTCCCTTACAGAATAATACATTTAAAAGTGTGTCTACTGTATGTATTTCAAGCTTTCTCACATTCCATAGGCGCTAGTGTTGATTGTTCACTCTACTTTCATACAGCAACGTCTAAAACTTCAGCAAAAACAGCAGTAGTTAGCCTTTTTGGTAGAAGTAAGCACTGAGAAACTTTAATAGCCACCAACCTGAGTCTCCTTCTCATGGTCTTTGAAACACAGAGTTGCTAGATTGACATGCGTGGACTTCTCCCTGTCCACACTTCGAGCATCAATGGCTTGGGCCAAGTACTTGTTAACTCGATTGGATGGTTGATGGTACACGCTTGAATGCCTCTTCTTAAATGGCCGCTTAAATTTTTCTGTTACCTTGTTCTGTAAATATTTCAAACAAAGGTTTTTAACCCACATTAAAAATGTGACCATATAGTAATGACTATTCATTAAAGTGTTTAAACACATTAAGAAATCATGATCAACTTCATTTTAAAACTTTATAGTCCTTTGTTCACACTTTTTACTCGAAAACAAATAATTTGTATGATTATGGGGGTTATAACAAAATGGTGGAAAGAAAGAAATTCTGCCAGGGGAGTAGACACTTGATCTAATTCTCACTCATAACATGGTATTCATGTTAGAGGAAGAATACAAAATATGGGTCACTGTGCTGTATTTTGCTGATAACTTTATTATTGGTTAAGAAGAAATAAAGACCTAAAATCAATCACTAAGAGAAAATAATTAGATAATGAAAGGGAAATTTTCATAGAGAGTAAAATGCTAGATCATCTTCTACATCTTCCATTGTAAATGACCCATCAGACCATGAAACCCAGTTTATTACAATTAATAATATTGCTCCTGCAAATTATACACTACTGTTGTCCCACACAGGCAAGCAAATAAATAATGAAGCAATTATAGAATTTCAGCTCTCATTAAAAAATGAGACTTGGAAATGAATTTACAACAACAATTTTAATAATAACAATAACATTAAGTTCCACTCTTTTTAAGGATATTTCTAAATATCTTGAAAGCTACAAAGAGTACAGTCTTCTGGGTTGGCATACAGTGTAGCTCGCAGACAGCCAGACATTTCAGAGGCACACAGTGCCTCCATCTTCAGAGTCGAAGAATAAGCCAAGAAGATGCAAGTGGCAAGCTGCCTGATATGTTAGGATCTATTCAAAGTATACAGTGTTACAACCCAAAGATTTTACTCTCCATAGTCAGCACAATGAGAACCTCAAATCCACCATCCATGAAGCTAGCTGTCCAATTAATATAACAATATAGGCAAAGGAATGAATGATCTGACTACACAAAGAGTAAAAAAAAATTGAAAATATAAAAACAGTCTTTACATTCATAGCAGGAATAAAAGTGATCCAAAAACAGAAGCATTTTATAGGAAATATTGTAAAATTTTAAACTAAGTTACAAAAGATGCTAAAGAGATTATTATAGTGAATGTATAGTACTCTCAATAGAAAGAAGGCTACATGGAACACAGTAAAACAAATAGATGAGAAAAATACATTTACCTGAACAGATACCCTCTTTTCTTATAAATGGTGAAAAGGCAAAGGATGCTAATATGGTTGATGACACTTTCAATTGTTTTTTAACAATTATTGGTGATTTAAAATGCATTATGTAAGGAAAGAAGATGCAACTATATTAAAGGAAAAATTAGTTCTCTGGGATAAAATTACTAGAATTTCAGTCACAGAGGTTGAGATAAATATTGTTGTGTATTTTCTCAAGCAAGAACTGTGGAGCTAGAGAGACAGCTGTTGCTAGAGAATGGGCCTAAAACAACAATCGATTCTATGCAATGGCCGCGAAACAAACAACAGAACAATGTCCACCGCCAGACAGCAGATTCTTAATAAGTAACAACTGAACAGCAACAAGTTTTGTGCTCAGTTGAAAGTCAGGCTATGAAGAGAAGACTATGAGATTGATGTGGAATAGCCACTGGCCTGGGAGCTAGTCAGCTGAAAGTCAGGCTGAGACTGGTATAGTTACTGTGTTAAAATCCGTTGCCAGGAAATGGCTAGTGGAGACTGTAAAAGACTGAGAATACTGGTCTACATGTGATAGAGATCTGTAAAGTGTAGTCACAAGTCATGAGTGTGTAAGTGGTCAATAAATTCAATCCAAAACAATGTTGAGAGTCACTGTAACACTCACAATATATTCCCTCAAATCAATAAAACTTGTTCAGATTATGATGAAATAAAAAGTAAAACTCTGAAGTCATGGCATCTTTCATCAGCACTCCATTACATTCTTATTATCACTGAATACAAGTTCTGTTCATTTTAAAATCTCAACAGTAAAATTATATAAAATGGTATAAGTGCTTCATGATAAACTATAGGCCTATTTCACTATTAACTGCCTTCTCTAAAATTTTGGAGAAAGTTTTGTATAACAAATGACAGATGACAAATGACAAACCAGATAAGTCATTACATGCATACTAACAACATATTAGCTCCAGAACAATTTGACTTCAAGGAGGGTACATCTATTGAAAAAGGATATTCAAGTTAATTGTAAATTTATTTAAAGCCGCCATTAACCAACAAATGCATGTTAGAGGAATGCCACATCAACCTGAATACAAGCCAGGCTTCTTCCCAAAACTTATGCTATTAAAGATAGGGCACAGCTTATTAGCAATTCTTAAATAAAACATCACTTTCTGACGTTATTTGGGCATTCTGTCATCTCAAAAAAGTACATACATAGAAACAATGTATTTCCAAATTTGAATTCTTGCAAGTTTATTTTCAATGTTATATTCCAGAATTCCACACTGTACCTCTTTTGTGTTCAGACATTCAGAGGGTCTAAAAGTACTCATATAACTGAAGTGTCATGCAAGATGTGGTGAATTCACATTAATGACAGTGAGTATGGAAAGACATATGTCCAAGGCACTCCAAATCTCTCTTACAATTCACAAGTACTTGTGGTCATATAATATTGTGAAGTGCTGAGCTATGGATGACGCCCCCCCCCCCGGGAGCGGTGACGCGCCGAGCGGAGCCGAAGTTAGCTGAGTCCCAGCATCCTGGTAGCTATGCAACGCGAGTCAACAGCGGTGACGTCACCACGGGATACCGCGGTTGCTAGGCAGCAGTAAACAACACCGGACAGCGTTGCTAGCAACACGGCGCCAGGCAACAAGGGTGCCTATTACGTGGCTGTTTTCTGCGTTGTCCACACGAGGCTAGATACGGAGCAGCGAAGATTATTCACAGTCAGTTCTCAGTTCGCAAGTTACGAGTTACAGATGCGTGTGCGAGAATCACTGGTAGTTCATGATAACCAGTTATATTTGGAGTGTGTAATTCAGCGAGACTTGTATAGCTCCCGTGCTATTAATATGTGAAGACTCTTGAAGATAGAGTTAAGAGATTTTGTTGTAGGTTTTGTAAAGTGTTTAAACCCGTAACATTGTTATAATTAATTGTAGCCAATACTTGTAGATTGTTAAATAAACCAATTAACCATCTCTAGGGCGTCTTCAGTAATGAAACACGTTACAATATTAACCTCTCTTTGAACAGTCTCCGGTATGCACATTCCAAACAGTTCATGCTAAAAATACTTCTGAAGCCACAATTTGGAAACTCAACTATTTTACCAACTTCAATACACCACTCTACACTAAACTGCCCAAAACCAGCTATCATCCTAAAAGAATTATGAAATCTAGATGCCTGTGCAATGCAAACTTTGATGAACCTATGACACAGTGAGGAGTAACAGTGTAGTCATTACCATAAGCATTTATCTAAATAAGGAAATACCACACAAGATCTGAACCTGGATGGGAAATGGAGAGACAGGCGGAGCTATGTCCTAGATCAAGAACATGCTACACATACTGTCAACCTCATCTTACCTTATTGGCAATGTCATGAAGGTGGAGAGCCTCTGCTCCACCAAAAGGTCTTCCTCCTGTAGTGGAAGGATCAGCATGGAGCGCTCGCTGCAGGTCTAGCACCTAACAACAGGCAGCAACACTACACTACAGCATCCTGAGGATCTATATCAAGCCAGCAGGTTCACAGATTCCACAAATATCTTATATACTAACAGAAGAAATTCCCTCAGACCCCACAAATAGTGTTACTGATACAGGTATACAACTGACAAGGGTTAGAAAGCTTTAAATTACTGAAACACTCACCATTGAAATAAGTGCTGACAGTAAAATGAATGTGAGTATATTATGATGCATAATTTAGTCACACATTTTCATTTCATATGATACTTTATATCAACATTAATATATGTATATAAAGTAATGAGCTTTAAGGATATGCTGCGTTCTGTCTTCTGGGATGTAATGTAGTGTAGTCTTCCCAAAGGTACATGTACATCCATTTTCAAGGTCAAAGAATAGGCCACATAGAAAACTGCAGGTTGCAATCAGAGTTTGATACCTGTTTCATGCTGGCTTTTTGTTTGGCTTATTCTTTGACCCTGAAGATGCAGGTGACATGTTCCTATGAAGATTAGTTGATTCTCAATGGACTACATGGTGTTATATACCAGAAGGTAGAACTTTTCATAACCACTCCTGTAAGAACCTGAAATCCTAAAAAGTATGCTAAATTTGTGTAACTACACCTACATTTTAGCAACTGGGTGGACATAACAAGATCAACAATTTGTGTAAATTAAATTACATTTTTAACTAATAATAATGATTACAAGATTTGTTGTAAACTTAAAAAGTAGTGTGGACATAAACATGTTTCTAACTTCTAAATACAACCACAGAAAGTTTTTGGTTGATAACCAGTGAGTTAGGCAGGAGTTATTGGCATTATGGCACTCTTGCACAATAGTTGCAATTTTTTGTTCATGCACAGTTGTATGTAAGAGTAATTTAATTTGCTTAAACAAACAAGTGACTGAAAACTCTGTCACAGACCTAGAAACATACAAAATCATTTGTTTAATCATGTTCAACAAGTATAACTGTTATAAGTTGTGCTATTTCATCATGTCATATTATCCATTTTGAAATTACTGTTGTCTGTTGAATATTATATGAATGTTCTTGTGTAAATGGTGCTCTGAAGTACAAGGTGTGGACAAAATACCAAATGCATGAACTTATGATGATCACAGAATCAAAAAATCAAATAGGAATATGATGAAAACCCAGTTACCATAACTTCATAATAGTGTAGTATGAATACTGACAAATACTCACCAGAGTAAGGGAAGCAAACTATCAACTTCTATACATTCACTATCCTTTACCACTATTAACATACTGAATGTTTCATAATGTAACCATCAGATATTCATACAAATTCTTCACCAGTAAACAATTTATACAAACACAATATGAAGACATTAAAAATGTAAAATGGAGAATATGCTAATTTACTTAATTAACCTGAGACATCACAGCATGATGCACAACAAACAACTAAATGGCTAAGTCAATTTTAACATTTGCTGAAGGAACAAAAACCTCTGATCCCTTCTGTGTTTCAAACTGAAAGCACATAAACAAAACAAAATGACAGTCATACACCATTCATAACTAAAATAAAAATAATTGAGTAGTGTAAAATGAGAGTGATATGTTTAAATGTACTTCCAGTGAAGGGTTTCTCAGGAATATCCTTCCTTAACAACTGTACCATGTTGTAACTGCCTTACTATATTTATAATAATAAAAAAGAAAATAAATAAAAACCTTCCATTTGAAAAGTGATAGGCTATGTAAAATCCAATAATACTATTAAGTGACCTATGGTGCTGTGTGGTTTCCCAAATAAACAAAGTTCTTTTTGCATCTAGTGTCTGTTTAGACACAGAAGTCACAGAACAGTGGTTCTCAACCTCTGTCAGACCACAGCCCGGTAAATTCTTTTTTCTACACGATGAGGGCCCGGTACCAGGCCATGTCCCAGCAGCTGAGAAACACTGTCATAGAAGACACAGAAGTCCTCAAAGACAGTAACATACTTATGAAAATCTGCCAGGAAGACAGAATGGTGTTATTAGAACAAGTGTAAAGATATTCAGTGAAAATTTAGTTGTTCTAATGGTTAAAAAACACAAGCAATGAAAGGTATATGATAGGTTCAGACTCAAATATATATATCCACATTAAAAAAAAACACAGATGGTTCAAAATAGACATTATCTATGGCAGTTACAAAATGGCATCATTTTCAATGTTATGGCTTCAGAAAGAGGTATTACCTGCAAATGCTGCTTCTTCAGAAAATGGCACAGGTATGTCCACAGTTGCTACAAACTGCTTAAAAATTGGCATTACTTAGAAGCAATGGGAGTCTAACACCTTACTATCTGATGAGGAAGATAATGTGGTACAATATGTATGACAATGGGAAGTATTCACACATTTAAAGGACAATATGTTAACAGAGGATCATTCTGAAGAAGTTTCTTCATTTTGCTGAGGACATTTTCACTTATGTATTCCCAGGTCAGTACTGGATTCCAGACGAGATAACTCAGCACATAAAATATAATTAAAATGTTTCCATTTCTCCTGCTGGATAATGAGAAGGTGTCTGTGCTTCAAGTGATACCATAACTCTCTGCAGCCATGTCAATATGGAGTTAGCATCTAATGTTGCAGATATTCGTCTCCATCATCACATCAACCATTAATTATGTAGGTGGAGGAAGTTTCCATACTGACATGCACAAAGTCATCATGAAAGTTTCAAATCACATGTCAACACTATAATCCATGATAGCAACTACTGTGAGAAATAAATTAATCTATAAGCAGTTAAATTAGTAAAAATATGTATATGAAGTCATATAAGTCATAAATCTCTGGTAATTGCAAGCAGTTTATGTACCAGACTATGAAACAGAAAATAAGACTGCAAAAACAGGAAGGCAACAAATCTGTATTATATACAATTGGTAAAAAGTATTCAACGTGGATACTGGTAAGGTTTCAGCATATCAACATAAAACATAATTTCTTGGTGGCATAAAACTATATTATTTACTGGAAGGTACTGAAAAACCAGAAATTTGTCCATTACAGACAATTTGGATACATACTTCACAGGCTATTACGAATGTATGAATAATCAGGAAAGTTGTGTAATGCAAGTAAAAAGCAATATACACTGTTTAAGACTGAATCCTATTGTTCAAAGTATCTAAAAGGTTCAGTTAAAAGTAAAGCCTTCAATATAATGTACTTGTGTGTAATATAATAATTTGTAATATAAATAAAGGCAGCATACAGTGTTTAAACTGAGTCTAATTAGGTATAAACAATTCAACAGCAATATAACACCTCATATTCCATACGAACTGACATCCCTAACATATGGTACAGTATTTCATAGTGGCTGTGGATACATAGGGATGTGGTTATACATAACAGCAAGCCCAGGTCTCTGTACATACCTACAAGAAGAGACTTGTCTGATTCTGAAAGCAGTGTAGATGACAAAGAAGTTTTCAAGTTGTTGCTGTAGATGGACACTTACCACCACCACCACAATGAGCATATAACCACACTCACCTTCCTAGCAGCATTTGCCTTATGGTCACCAGGAGTGGCTATGTTAGAGAATGGCACCTCCATTGAGTACTTGATGGAATGAAGCAGCTGGACCACCACACTAGACACATTCTTGAATGAGAGTTTGCGACGCTGTGCTGCCCCCAGTGCTGACCGAACCTGCAGTGTGTTGAATAACAACGGCTGCAATAGATGATGGTCCAACTTTGATTGTATTCCACTATGTCTATGTTTAAATACTTTAGACCCCAACCGATGTGTTCTTTTGTGGTGATATTTTGCTGCACTGCATCACTCATCATACTTGTTGGTTTGTGCATTCACATTCCGGAATGCAGATGTTTTAACTGAAGAAGAAACTTATTATTTATGGAAAAAAATAAAATGTTTTTAAGTACCCACTCAGGCTGTGCCAAGCATTATCATTCTGCACAGGCATACACTGATCACTGGAATTAAACAGTGAATGCAGATTATAAGAAGAAACAAAAAAGAACAAACATACAAACTCCATTGCCTGTAGTCCACAAGTGAACTATACCGACCGAGCGACTGCTGCTTGTTGGCGAAGTTAGTGCCAACTTTTTCAGATATAGGGTATCACGTCATCAGCGCAACAGATTCCCATGGCTGTTAATCTCAGTTTTCTAGACTGGAGATTATAAATTAAATAAGAAAGTGTGTATAAACACTCATTATCAGACCAATTACTATTTACTGCTTACTGGTACTATTATTATTTCAAATTTCAATGTAATCATATAGAAATGACTTTTGGGCCATAAAATAAATATTAATGGCTTAAATTACATCACTTCATTACATTATTCATGTTAATGTTCATTTGCTGCAGATGTTAATGTACTCCTGCAAACTTAATCATATTTCAGACACCACACTGATTAATGAGACACTATTTTTGCTCTTATTTCATTAAACAATTGCCATAATGAAGAATATTTCAAATGAAAGTTATCTTAACAAAATCATCAATATTTGTGTGACAAGACATTCTTAGGAAAATTATTGAAGTCTAAATTTAGTTTCAGACAAAGTAGGGGTTATACTGAATGAATATGGACCAAAAATAAATTTAACAACTTTTAGCGGAGACTCCAATCCCAAATTCCATTTACATCCACTGAGTGATTTTGGGGATGACATGAGTTAGTGGACAGACACTGTCTCCCCATTCTGCATTCACTATATGGTCTCCATGCATAGAATGCATTAAGAAACTAGCACTGAATCCAGAACTGTCATTCAGTTATTTGATAGTTACCTATCATACATACGCCAAAACAATTTCACACAACATGACAAAATGGAAACTCAAGTCAGAAGAACTGCCTGACAAATATTCATTGCTTCAATCCCATAACCATGTGACATAAATAAGTAAAGACAGAACATCCCTACCTTTCTCCGTCGAGCTGGGGGCACAATGAAATATGTGGCAACACTGTGGTCCCGCAAGTATTGGTTTCTAGTTCCACCATGGCCTGCCTCAACCTCATATTCTCCACCCAAGTAGTCTAGTGTTGCTTGTGTGATGTGAACACGCCTGGTAACATGGGATTTATCTTATGAAACATATCACAACATAAGTCAACATACCATCACATATAAGCACACACGATGCTACTGCAGAAGAAGAGGGTAATATTCTGAATGATAGACACACAGAAAGGGATATTCTTCTGAACAGTGGCAACAGTGAAGTGAATTTTTTGAATAGATTATTGAACAAACAAAGCAAACTCTGTGGTTTTAATAAGCAAGCGAACTATACCGACTCAGCGACCACCACTTGTCGGTGAAGTTAGTGCCAACTTTAGGGGATAGAGGGTGTCATCTTGTCAGTGCAATGAATCCCAATGGCCGTTAATTTCGGTTTTCTAGACCGTAGCCACTATTTCTTTGAAATAGCTCTTCAATTATAATCATGAGGCTGAATGGACCCCATTTAAGACCCACTAATTCTCAGAAAAAATCTGATAGCGACGGGAATCGAACCCGGACCTCTGGATCTATAGTCAGGAACTCTGATCACTAGGCCACAGAGGAAGTTGTTAATGAAACAAACATAAAAAATTAACCTGTATATTTTAAATGCAAGAAAATATTTCATCAAATTTGTTTGTTAGTATATCTTAATACTGAGGAGACGGGCCATTCTCTGCATAAAACCATTTATCCAACACACAAACAAAATGCTTTTCAGCTCTCACTGTTCAAGTGACCATTCTAGCATGTGCATATCTTTTATGTCCAACTGCTTTCATATTTTAAGTTACAAGTTTGGTGATGCAAAGAAAGGAGTAGCCTATATTCTAGGAATTCAGGATTGTGGAATAAATCATGCCTAATTGGGTAAGAAACTGTAATACAGGCTGAAAATAAAATCCATAATCTTTATCATACCAGCCAATATTCTCCTGTAGCATTTCGTTAACAGGTCATCCCTCTGGATTAGTGTTTTCACACATGGCAGCCTAGCACAGGCTCTAATGATCCTGCATGTAGGAGACATTAATTTACATGCAATTCATTAATTGTATTATGTTCTGGCAAAATAATCAAGCAATATTAAAATGGATCTTAGATAAGTACGATGGGGTGATATGGATTCGATTCATCTGTCTCAGGAGAGAGACCAGCGGACCAGTGACAGGCCCTTGTGAGCAGGGTAATGTACCTTCGGGTTTCATAAAAAAATGTTAGGAAATTCTTAAGTACCTGAGTAACTGGTGACTTCTCAAGAAGGACTCGGCTTTGGAGAGTTATTTAATGATATCTTGACTTTTCCACTCTATTAATGCATGAAAAAGTAGAACTCCATCCTGTGTTAACTATTTTAATAATTAGATAAATCAAATATTTTCTGTCTTATGCTTCACCATTAGTGGCAATCATCAGGAGGCAAACCAGCATTTTGAAGGAAATACTTTATATGAGCTGTTACTATAATATCATTGAAGGGACTAGCAGAGGTAGGTGTGAATATTACAACCAAATAGTTAAAATAAATTAAAATGAATTAAAAGTGCTACTGGAGATCGTGAAGAGTCGAGCCTTCAATCAGGATTTGGAAAATGAATGTCAGGACATTGTATAGGGGTCAGCCCCTCTGAAACAAAAGACAGGGGTCAGGCCCTCTGAAACAAAAGAAGAGACTGAGCACAGAGTAAGAGCTGGAGATGTAGGAGCACTGTCCACTCTAGGTAGTTCTGCCTCCACTGAGGTAACTTTGATGATTTATTATTATAATTACAGACTGTATGTTAGTAAGAGCTTATAATCTAGGAATACTACTCATAGTTTCATCATAATGCATACACATGGACAGGGAGAAACTCAGTAGAAGTACAAGTATTCTCTTGCATAAAAGTGCTAATAAAATCTGAATTACATGGATCATATTGAGGGATACTGCCAAGCATCAGTCACCTCTGCTAAAACTAACAGTGGAAGCAAACAAGAGAAATTATTTTTACTGTCCTGTCAAAATAAATAAATAAACAAATTGGTTATATAAGTACCATATACACATGAAGTCAGACCTTGAGAAAAAATTACCTTTGCTGCAGTCTTCAAGAATATCTGTTATTAAAAGGGCATTAAATTCATTTACCCTCTCAATTTCTATAGACCATTATAACCAATTGGTTCTTGTCAAAATTATACAATATTATAAAAACTGCAAATTAAACTAATTGATAATACATACATATCTGCACTGAAACTACCCCTACAGAAACTAAATCATGATACAATGTACGACATTACCTTAATTCAACATGTCTTTTTTAAAGTGCATGTTAAATTCTGTTCAGGTGAACAAACAATTGTTTCTCATGGTACTCTGACAGAATGTTTAAATAAAACATTGTGCCCAACAATTAAGTAAATGGAAATGAGTATGACAAATCTGTCACCAAATTTACCTAAAGCAACTTGTAATAAACAGAAGCATGACCTTGCCACACTTACCCTGGCTCCCCTCCTGCCTCCATATTATTGGCAAGAGTAACATCATTGGACCAGACATCATACTGCCACTTGCGTAACCCAAGTACACCGCACAGAACACGCCCTGAGTGAATCCCCACTCGCATGTTCAACTGCACATCTGTTGCCTCAACAACTGACCTGTCAATGCAACAGTGTACATGTCTCTTATTTCTGTCAAATATGTTTTACATTTCTGTAAATCAAATGATGTATGATGAAAAAGGGCCTCATAATGTGATCTGTACTGTGTGGATCCAGTTCCATATAATAAAAGAATATTACAAAACTGGTGACTTCCTTTTACTCCTTCAAACCAACTGTGCTACTGTAAAACATAACATGTGAGTGACTGTACAGATACACGTTGCTTGACCTTGGCACTAGATGGAGGTGAGTGGTCGGCTTTATGCCCCAGCCTCTTCACCCACTTGGAAAATATCTCCCAGTACACATTGGTAGTAAAAACAAAACACAAATACAAGATTAATGTAAAAGAAATGGCGGTCAAACATACTGTCACATATTTCAGTCATAGCTAAGGCACAGTTAATAGGACATTTATTACATGAAAACAAAGAGCAAGACTAGCTGAAGTCTCCATTGTTTCTGACCGAAACTCTGATACCACCAGCTTCCAAAAAGCACACTTAATAAAACCATTATATTTAAATATTCTTTATACATAATGCCTAAAAATAATGACATGTCTGAAATAAAGTGTGCAATTTTAAGTTAATTATGACAGTATGAATTATGCTTTTTAAGGAATCTGTTGTAACATATGGCAGAAAACTTTTTCTGGGCACATTCTAGTTTGCTGGCATCAGTGTTGGTAAGAGAACTGCAGACAACTGAAGCATATTCAAGTTCCGGTCTAACTAGGATAATGTAAAGCATCAACAAACTGTCTAAACAAGAACAGGAGAAAGTAACAGTACAGATTATGTCATCCCCCCCCCCCCCACCAACAAACCATCAACCTTCACTTATATACAACCCCTGTCTAGGCTCACCTACCCTTTAAGGTATGCCCTTCTTCATGGTTGTTCTTTCTCCCATCCCCGGGGAAGACCAACCATCAACTCACAGTCATCTCCCCACCACTTTCCATACCAATCAATCATGGGGAAACACTTACGCTACACTTTTGCCAAGCAAGAACTTGTATCAGTGACCACTCAAGAACTTCAGATGCTAACGGGGCCATATGCACAACTTTCCTGGTCCACTGTTGCTATTGGCCCAGATGAGGCACCAAAACCCACTCAATTCCCTCCTTCTCCCTTTAGTTTCAAAACAGAATGCTCATCAACCCATACACTCCAACCCTGAAGATAGAGGCACCATGCAACTCTGAAACTTAAGACAGCACTGCCCACAACCACATGTTGCAACAACCCAAGAATAGAACAGACTAGAGTAAATTATGATGTTACAATTCAATTCTTTATTTATGTGCTGAATTCAACAGCCAGAAGCCAGTTACAAATTCAGCATACATACATACAAAATAACAACAGAACACAAGGACAAAACAAATAAATATGAAAAAATATAAATCAATGTGGCTCGTCCACAAAGTAAGTTTCCCTGGGGCCGTTTACAGAAACAAAACACAATTTAATGGAAATATTTATTGCAACAGACACAGCAAGTGTTCAGCTATTTTTCAACATAATCACCACCAGAATTGAGACATCTGTCATACCGTGGGACCAACTTTTGAATACCTGTGTCGAGAAGTCTGCCGCCTGGGATTGGAACCACTGTGTGACAACCATCTCCGCCTCTCTGTCATTCTCAAAACTTTGACGCTCACCGAACAGGAATTTCTTGAGGTGTAGGAAAAGATGGAAATCACTGGGAGCGAGGTCCAGGTTGTAGGGTGGATGATTAAACACCTCCCAGCTGAACTCCTGCAGGAGACTTGCTGTCCATCGAGCCATGTACGGCCTAGTGTTATCGTGCAGGAAGAAAATACCAGCATTAAGCATCCCGCGCCGCTTGCTCTGAATGGCCCGTCGCAATTTCTGCAGTGTTTCACAGTAACGCTTAGCATTCACCATCTCACCTCTGGTCAGGAAGTCGATGTCTGTCCCAGAATACCGTGCACATCACTTTCCGCGCCGACGTCTGCTTGAATTTCGTCTTACAGGGAGATCCACTGTGATGCCAATGCATTGACTGCTGCTTGGTTTCTGGGGTAATGCGTGCAATCCACGTTTCATCACCTGTGATGATCTGGTCCAGAAACTCGTCGCCGTCATCATGGTACCGCTGCAGAAATGTCAATGCTGACTCCATGCGCTTTGTTTTGTGTTCTGGTGTCTGTTGCTTCGGCATGCACCTGGTGCACAATTTCCTGAACAACAGGTGCTCCGTGACAATTTCGTGCAACAAGGAGCGGGAAATCTGCGGGACATGACTGCTGAGTTCCGTAATTGTGACGCGACGATTCTCCATAATGCGTTCCCGCACAAGCTCCACCAGGTCGTCTGTAATGATGGATGGCCGCCCACTGCCCTTCTCATCATGCACACTTTGTTGACCTGCTGAAAATTGTCTGCACCAGCGACGCACCATCTGCTTGCTCATGACGTTAGGCCCATAGACCCCGCTGACGATGTATTTTGATCGGCGCTATGCTTTGTGCATTCAAAAACGTTATCACTGACTGCACTTCACAGTCGGCGGAAGCTGGAATAAGAGCCTCCATCTTCGACAGCTGCAACGATGCTACTGTGGGAACGCGGGAAATTCCGTTAGTGCATGCGCCATGCTACGTCATTGCTCTATCACGTACGAGCAGTCGCTTCGCGCAATATAAGGTTTGCTAGCTGTGGGACGAGTGGGAAACTTACTTTGTGGACGTGCTATGTAATATAAATAAAATATATACAATAAAGATGATGATGATGATTACATACTAGTTGTGTGCTCAACTAATGATCAGTAACTCACCTGGTCAACTCTCATTAACCTGATATACACTGCAACACTGCTGTCACATGAGAAACCGCCTACACTCAACAGACTATGAATGAATGATGAAGGCCACAGGTAATAAAATGTCATTCACATCCTCCTCGTTAGGTCAAATGATACTAACCAGTCAACAAAACGCATACTTACGCTATAGCATCAATCATGTCCAGGCCCATCTCAACAGTGCAGTGGGCATGGTCTGAGCGAGGTTCAGGCAGGCCAGATACACAATAGTAACAGTCACCCAGAATCTTGATCCGCAAACAATGGTTATCCTGAATAGTAAGAACAATTTACATACAATGATTCACAGATTAATATCAGCTACTGAGGTTATACAGGACTGATTGCTGGATCCCTGAAGGGTATACAAAATCCAATCATATCTTTTGGGGAAACACTTCTTTTAAGAACATATTTCTTTAAAGTATTTGTGTTAATCTGGGAAAATTTAACTTAGTGATTATTTTTAAAACTATTCTAACAGATTCAGACCTGTAATCAGACTCATCTGATGTAATTTTTCATCTATTAAACACACTCAATCAGAAATTTCTGGTGTGGTGCAAGATTCAGCATTTGTTTCTGTAGCAAGGTAGTGAAATCAGTATAGTGACTAGTCTATAGACTTGATGGTTGGAAAACCAGGGTTTGACCATTAGGCCCATAGAGACTCAAGAGCAAACTCAGCCTTCTGTGCACTGTGTACTGGTGTCTCTTTCCCTAAAGAAAAAGTGGCTGAGGCATGCAGGTAACCACTCATCTCCATCTAGCATCAAAGGTTAAGAAAAGCTGGAGCTGTACTCCCATTTGCCTATATATCATTCCTGGTATGGCGTTTAATTAAGAATACTGTATCTTTACCTTTACTTATCCTGTAGTTTTTTGACTCAGTTGGTCTCACAATACTGTATTCATAAAGAATGGTTTGGATAAGATTCGGGTGGGGGGGGGTGATACCACTGAAATATCAACATTTCAAGACGTCTGTAAAACTTTCCTGTCTGTAAAAATAACCACGCACTGGTGTGCCTGGATGTGCTAATGCAGCAAGGCTTGAACATGATCTCACTCAGTAAATCAATACATATTCTAAATAAACATTTCAAATACCCTGCATGTACTATCTATAATCTTCTATTCTATGCATATAAAGAATTTATGAAGCCTTTATTTACAAAACCAAAACAAACTGAACTGAAACAAATGCTTAAAACGGTCAACAAATATGTAAACATAATTTTAGCCAGTAGGTCTGACGGTAACTGTGATTTGTAGAATGCACCTTAAACTTTAATATTTCCACTAGATGCTGGGATAGAACAGTCAGTATAGTGACTGGTTATGGGCTGGACAGCTGGGGGGGGGGGGGTCAGAATTCGAGCCCCGGTTGGGCAAGATTTTTCTCCTCTCCATGTCATTCAGGCCAGTTCTGGGGCCCACTCAGCTTCCTATCCAATGAGTACTGGGTGCTCCTTTGCAGCGGGTAAAGTGGCTGAGGCGTGAAACTGACCACTCACCTCCATCTGCTGCTGAGGTCAAGAATATGTGGATCTATGCATCCATTCCCACACACACTTTCATGGCATAACGCTTAATTAATTAAGCACAGGAACAACTTTACCCTCTAATTTCTTTTACATTTACACTGTCTGTAAAATTTGGCAAGTTATTCATTGCCGGCAAAGCAGTTTGCAATTTATAACACTAACATGCTCCCAAGAAGTTAATTACAAACTTCTCTGTAAGAGAATAGTATAGCGGCTCTTCAGTGATGGCGGGGGAAAAAAAAGCCCTATTGTGAAGAACCCTTGTGCAATACGCTGCCAACATCTTCCCCCATCCCTCTTCTTCACCCCAATGTTCAACACTTCCACTTCCCCATGCCCTTAACCTTCCCTTCCTGAACCAATCTTTTACCCTTTCTTCTTCCACCCTCCCCAACCATCATTTTTCTCTTCTTCACATAGTTAGTGAAAACGAATCAAGTTGATAAATGACTCAATCTTCCTCTCTCCAACCTTTCCTTATACATACCATCTATGAGATATTAATAAATGATTTCTGTAACTAAACAAAGTCCCAGCATGAACGCACTGCCACGACTCCATATTCGTAATTCAATGATTTGCTTCACAAGTGCACAGAGAAAAATCGAGAGAAGCTTAACTCTTCCAAACCAGCATTTTTATTTGCATGAAGAATGGAGGCAAAAGGGAGAAACCCCTTTAAATAGGCCTTTTGTTAGAGAAGCTATACTTTGACAAGCTGAACTTAAGTTTCGAGCAATATATGTAGGAAGGGAGTTAGAGAGATAGAAGGAAAGCACACATCTTCAAAAATAAATTCTGAAATGAAACAGCATGTTATTCAAGTCACTGTTTCTGGTGGACATCTTGACACATTTCACCCAGAATTCTATAAACATCACCATTCTTTTCATGTAAGCACCTACAAGGTGACTTATTAATTACACGTAATTTCATCATAAACTTTAATTCTTCATGTAACGTATTACACAGCAGTTGTTTCATTAATATATAAAGGTAAGATAAATGACTTTAAGGCAATTCATTCTGAAGCTTGGTATGTCATCCTAATGGAAGAACATAATACTGATGGTGTGCAATAACAATGGTACTATCCAAGCATATGCACCAGTGAAGGTTTGAGGAGGTTACGTCCTAAATACAATTTAGGTGCATTAGCACTGAACTATCTTGCTCAGTGTGAAATGTTACTGTGGAACTAATGCGAAGCCTTCACCATCATTCCAAAAATTTCTGGAACTGCACAGTACACAGCTAGTATTGTAAATCCAATACTTGTAAGCTATGTATATACACATACTCGTAAATGTCTTGCTCTGTTATGCAGTTTCATTTAAATTTTATAAAAAACACACACGCACGCACACAGATATATATATATATATATATATATATATATATATATATATATATAGGGACATCATACATTTATTAAATACAAAATATACATCACACAAATTAACTTACACTAGCAAGTTGGTCAAAACGTCCAAAGAGCTCATTGAGAAGGCGTACCAATTCTTGTGCTGTACACTGCGATGCCAATACAGTGAAGCCAACAATATCAGCAAACAGGATACTGCAAATGAAATGACGGTATGGATGAGACTACAGCAGTGACTTGCTGAAAGTTTCTTCAGACACGAAGTGTTCACCTCTTTATTCCCAGGTGCTTTGAACTTAATAGTCCAGTGCAGGATTTGAACCAGGCAGCTTCTGAGACAAGTCAGAAGCGTTACCGGTTTTGCCAACTATCTCTATACACTATACACCAAACAGTTTATATCACACTCTAGTCTCTTATAAAGCTGTTCCAGGTGGTATAGATATTCTTGTGTTAAGCAGGAGCTGGAGTCGCAGCTCTAGAGTATAATTCGTTTTACATCAACATCTGCTCATTTTAATCGTTGCCATAGCCTCTCAAATTCTGCCACTGACTAGCCATCCTGCTGACTGAGCACTAACGGGTTATGAATCTGATTCCCAAGAAAATATGGAAACAAGTTCTAAACAAGAAGTTCTGGGAAGAACTAATGGCCTACTTTCCTTTTACTACGCACTGAGTATTTGATACGACACGGACTGCACACAAAACACCGCGTCCAACAGTTCTTCTACTGCGTTGACGCGGGGACGTGTTTATCGGGCCGTTGCCGAACAACGTTAGAGGGGAGACGCAGACATACAGACAGCAAGGCGATTTCATTAGTCTCCTTTTTATGCTACTTTCCTTATCTTGAAGTAAAAATTCTGAAGAGAACAACAAACTAACAGCCTATATTCTGATATGACACGGACAGCACAAAAAACGAAAAAAAATTATGGGTATACAAGCAGATACATTAACACACAGAAAGCAAGGTAAACTCTTAGGCCTCGTAACAAAAATTAGGAGGGGGGAGATATACAGGCAGAGAGACAAGTCAGCAAGGCAAACGCATAAGCCACAAAAAAAAAAAAAAATGCAGGGAGAGATATACAGGCGGAGAGACAGACAGGAAGGTGAACTCATAAGCCTCGTATCAACATTTTTTGTGGGGAGAGGAATATATAGACGTAGAGACAGACAGCAAGGTGAACTCATAAGCTTCCTTTTACTATTTTCTAATAAGGAAAGAAGGCTAAAAAAGGACATACTACGGTCATTTGGTTATATTACCATATTTACGCATGTATAGGCCGCAGCACAATTTTCAGACAGAAATTATAGAAAAAATAATTTTCTTGGAATATTATTTCAGGAGTAGAACACCCTGTATTACTAATTATGAATATATATATTTTTTTAAATGAAGTGTGATTTCGAATATTTCGAATATAAGCCGCACCCCAGTTTTCCTCTTGAATTTTTGCCAAAAAATGTGCGGCCTATACATGCGTAAATACGGTATATTTCAGACAGTATGTGTGCTCCTAGACGTGTACGTACGGGTACACGTCGACTTATGACTTCTCGTTTTTAATGTTTTTGTAGGGGCATGGATTTAATTCTTAGGAACATTCGGTATGTACTCTCAGTGGCCCCGCATACACGTGGTCAGGATCACAGTAACCAATTTTATCGCTGGGAAATGCACACTCGGGATTACGCACGTAAAGTTTATGCAGGAAGGATCGATCTCTCGTTCGCAACAATCGCTTTACGCGCCAGTTTCCAGAAACTAATCTATAGATTCAAGTGGTGTGTCCCTGTAGTAGGTTATTGTACTTCACAAGGATCTATGAAAACCGTGGATCCGCACACTGAGAGGCACACAACCGGTCAAGAAATGGTGTATATTTTATGAAGGAAAGTGTGCACAAGGTTCAGCCAGTGAATTCTTAATCCAGTCCACGCTTCTAGGGCAACATCTGCAATTTGTTTAAAACCCTCTCATCTATGCCCGCATGTACGAAGCGGACTCATCCCTTAAAAAAGAAGTTCCAAGCAGGAGTCAAAAACAACGTTTTCCTACCGCACACATTTCTAATCCCACAGCTCTTTCTAAACAGCTCTCGTATAATATACGAGGTTGGGATGGCCTCCAATCGCATAACATTCCTATCAGTTTTCGTGAAAATCGGCGAGGTAGTTCTAAAGTTGAACGGGGGACACGCAGACAGAACGCTGAATTCATACGTTCAATTTGTTAACTCCTCAGCCAGTGGTGAATAACACAAATTCCGCAACTGCTTAATGCCACTAGTAAACCTAGGCCTATATAAATATGCTAACCTTGGATTCTCCTCCAGTACACGAGCGACAAAGTCGCCTTCTTGAAAGATTTCTCACTACAATCACTGACACCTTCCTGTATAATGGTGTTGACTTTCTTCCTTCAAACATCATCAATCACTTGTATCATTAACGTTACGTCAAGGAATGGGTGATTTTTAAAGAAAAATATTCTTTCTCGCCACCATGATGGCCCATCAACATCCTGATCGGAAGCATAACTACCGATAGGGGTAAAGAATGACTAATGGCCTCAATGAGAAATGCACCATCAGCCAGGAAAACAAAACAAAATTTTAAGAAGCCAGTTAGAGCCTGAGCCGAGACCCTGTGTTACTTCTCGTGGCATGCTGGTTTTTCAGAATTCATTTATCAGTAATCTGTCAGACGACAGGTCCACAGTCTCTTCCAAAACAGTTCCTTCACTTAATGCGATCTAGAGCTTTCTCCTTTTTCAGAATATACAAAATTATAATTATGTCTGTTGTTCTGTATGAGTGTGACAATTGGTTACCTCAGATGACAGAAACAGACTGAGGCAATTTCAGAACAAGTTGCTTAGGAGAATATTTCAGCCCAATCTTAAAGTGGCTGACAAATACAGCACCGTGAGAGATAAATTATAAACAAGTAAATTTATAAGTACAGAACTAAGCAAATATATCAACGGCGACATGCAGAAAATGTTTATGTTGTGAACAGTAGAGCAACCCCACCCCTGCATCACTGTCTCCACAACCTGAGTGTAACTTTAAGCATAACCGAACAGTATATTATATTTGTTGGACATAATCTCGACATTTCGCATCGTAGCCATGTTTACAACTGCTGATTTTATTTCACGCTAAATTTGTAGGTACGTTCATGGGAAATCTTTTTATCACATTTCTAATTCCTAACTCTAATGATTAATTAGTTATCTCCACCCAGCTGAAAGCTAAATAGATATTTAAATCAGCTTCCTTTTTGTCTTACACACACACACACAAACACACAAACAACTTATTAAGAGTTGCAGATTTTGCAAAGATCTTTTCAGGACCTTACATTTAGTGGCATTGGTGTCGTTCCCATCTCACACAATATGGCGGATGCAGTCTCACAATGTACACCCTTCCCGTATTCTTTTTAATGAAGGTCTACGAGGGCACGCGTAGCGTAGTTGGTTGAGGCACTATGTTACAAGTCGGAAGGTCGCGGGTTCCAGTCCCGATGAGGTGGATTTTTTTTTTCAATTTACCTAATCCTTCCTGCCGCAGTATGGTCCTGGGGTCGACTCAGCTTCTCACAGAAATGAGTACTAGGAATCCTCCTGGAAGTAAATGGTGGCCGGCGCGTAAGGCTGACAGCCTTACCCCCATCTGTGAGCCAAATGTCTAGACAAAATGTGAGAGCCTCGACGTCTCACAACCCTATGGGCCTTCACGGCCTGTCACAAGGATAGCTTTACCTTCTGCCTTACCTACGTGACTACGACTACTATTTCAAAGTGGCACTGCATACGACTGATTGATTTGGGATGAGGCGGCATTAATTACTACAGGCTAATGACGCGATTGATTGCCGGTCCTAATGGCAGTTAGATGTCCAAATATAGTACATTACAGTATAATGACCCGAAGAATGAGAAGAACGGTATGATCACGCCACGAGCCGGCAAGAAACGAAACAAAATAATCTTCAGAGCAGAGCTTTCCCACTTCAGCTTCTGCAACCACATTTTCCAACCGTGGAATCTGGTTTACTCACATGTGTCCGCGGTTTATACGTTGTGCAAGTCTACATGTGGTTAAATTGATGGTTTCGGTTACAGTATAACCACATTTTCTAGGAGCATGATGTAACAGCTTCCGGACTGCCACTGCGATACACCATTTTATGACATTCCTTTGGCGTGTTCGCAAAGAAAAATGCAGAAATGAGTCCATTAGCTTCGTCGTGGTTGTCTGCCCCGCCAATTATCCGAATGTAATGTTGGCGGGATTTCGAATAGCCATGTTTGTTTTTCCACGTCTAGTTCGTTCATTCGGCACTGCTAATGCTGTTATCGATCTAACGTTTAGAGCGTACACACATACCGCGTGTGTGTGTGTGTGTAATGCCATGTAAAGGGATGTGAATTTCAGAATATGCAAGAGACATCCCGTCGCGTGACCTGGCCTCTCTTCTGAGGTCAAGTCCGCCCATTCCTTGTCCTACCTATCCTTGTGCCACGCAAACGTAATCATATTTATAGAGACTAGGGAACTGGTTTCAGCTTGAACTGTCCTATATACTGGAAACCTGGGTATAAACATCGGTGGTCACACTACCGTCTCATCGAGTTCCATAGGCCTTCAACTTTAGAAGCCACTTAACCGAAGTACAAACGGATGGAAGACTTGAATCTGGTATGTTCTCAATTATTAATAAGTCCCCTACATCTCAAGGCAACTACAGTCCTCTACTGCTCTGCCTTAACGCTGGTTTCTTGCTTGGCTTATTCTTCGGAGGCGACATGTTCTTCTGAAATGTTGGATGACTTTCAACAGACTAAAAAGTAAAGGTATCCCTGTAACAGATCGTGGAGGCCCATAGGGTTGTGACATGTTGAGGTTCCCACATTTTCTAGACAAACGGCTCATAAATGACGGTAAGGTTGTCAGCCTTACGCGCCGGCCGCCCTTTACACCCAAGAATATTCCAGAAATATTCCTGGTACCCATTTCTGTTAGAGGCTGAGTCGACCCCAGGGCCATAGTGCGGCTGGAAGGATTAGGTAAACTGAAAAAAATTCAATGACCTCATCGGGATTCGAATGGCGTTATAGACCAGAAGACGGAACTCTTCATAACAACCGCTGTGAGAATATCAACTCCTACATC